AGTCCAGAGCCAGGAGCAAGGAGCTTCTTCCAGGACTCCCATATGATGCAGGGGCCCAAGGACTTGGACCATCCTCCACTGCTTTCCCAGATACATTAGCAGGGAGCTGGATTGGAAATGGAACAGCTGGAACTTGAGCCAGCGCCCATAGGGAATGCTGGCACTGCAGGCAGCAGCTTAGCCTGCTAAGCCACAGCGCTAGCCCTTTGGATTCTTTGTTTCTAATATTTCAGTTTGATTTTTCTTTACTATCTCTGTCTCATGGCCAAATTTCTCATTCATGTCCTTTACAGATTTATTTAACTCTTTTAATTACTTCTCTGTCTTTAAGTAACCTTATAGTCATTCTTCTGAATTCTTTTTCAGACGTTTCTTCAATCTCTTCATCTTCACCATCTAATATTGAGATGCTATTGTATTCCTTTTGGGGAGTCATATTGTCTTCCTTATTCATGTTTCTTTTACTACTACATTTATTTTTATGCATCTAGGGAAACATTTGTTGGTATCTGCTCTGAAGAAATTCCAGGAACTGCATCCACGTCTCCCAAAAGGGGTGTAAGAACTCACGTACATGAGTGTCATCACCTGATTCCCAGAAACATTAGCTGGGAGCTCGGTTAGAAACAGAGTAGCTGGGGCCGGTGCTGTGGCTCACTAGGCTAATCCTCTGCCTGTGGCGCCGGCACACCGGGTTCTAGTCCCGGTCAGGGTGCTGGGTTCTGTCCTGGTTGCCCCTCTTCCAGGCCAGCCCTCTGCTATGGCCCGGGAAGGCAGTGGAGGATGTAACATACTAAATTTAGTAACATACTAAATTTTTGCACATTCGTGTCAGGTAAAGGATCATATATTAGTAGTACTCTTATGCTCATTTCAGAACTTTCAGCATTTTTTTGATGCATAAGAATTCAATTGAATTATAAAAATAATTAATAATAAAATTTATTTAGTTCCTTAAAAACATTTTTTTCTATACCTACACTTATACTGACAAACTGATTTTACACTCATGTCATCTGAAGATCATCAAATGATGTGAAATCTCAGCTTCTATGCGACAGAAAATCGATGTCATAATCCTTTATAGTTCAAACATATATCCTAACAGCTTGGCTCCTACTTGCAAAGGGCAATATTGATAATTCAGGAGATAGAGAACTATTACCCTAAAAACAATAGTGTATTAGGTTTTCTGATGCCTGTGAACTGTGTGACTCAGGGAGAAATTTCACTTAGATATTATTCTACATATGACACCAGGCCGATTATGTTCTGTTATGGCAAAGTAGAGAGCAAGTAAGATATGAGTCATATTGTGAGTTTAATATAGTACTAGACAAAGGCAACATATTGTGTTGCTCTTGAAATTAGAATCCCCAGAACCACGTGTATCTTAAAGGAACTAGAATTTCATTTGTTTGAACAATAAACTCTAGAGATTAGTGACAATGAGTAAAGTGGAAATGCTAAAAATTGTCTATTACAGTTCTAGCAACAATGGCCATGATGAAGCAACATAACTGCATCATTTATGAATGGCTTCCAGTAGCAAAAGAAAATCTGAAAAAAAAAACTTCAGTAAAAATTATTTCTTGAGTGATTATATGTAGCCTGGTACTGATGACAACAAAGAGAATAAGACAGAGTCCAGTCAATAAGGGAGTGTTTTCCCAAATATGATTCCATTGTTTAAGGAGTAGGAATCCTGAGGACAGGGACAACCCAAGTTCCTATGCAAAATAAAAAAAGTGAAGACAGCAGTGGGTGTTTGGCACAGGAGGTAAGGGCTTGCCTGAGGTGTCTACACCCCATATCAGGGCACTTGGGTTGAATTTTAGTCCTCTTCCTAATTTCAGCTTCTTGCTAATGTACACCCTGAGAATCAACAGGCAAACTTGAGAAGCAAACTCAAGTGCTTGGATCCCTGCCATCCATGGACGAGACCTAGATGTACTTCCCATCTACCGGCTGCATGCTCTCCTAGATGTGGCTGTTGTGGACATTTGGGAACTGAAACACAAATTGGGAGGTCTTCATCTCTTTGCCCCCCTCACTTCCTCCCTAATAGTCTGTTCATTTCTTCCTTTTGAATAAACAAGATTTCTTTTAAAAATGACAAAGAAATTAAAAATAAAATTAACCACAGATACTAATATCAGGGCTAAAAGTTAATGCTTCACATATGCAACATTCCTCCAGTTATGAATCTGTGGCAAAGATGGGATGCCTTCATTGCATAGGAATCAACTTCATTTGGGACCTGTTGGAGTTCTTTGGAATATTTGAGCTTTAATGCAACTATATATAGATTATTTTCTGAATCACATAGTCTCATTAGGCACGATATGGCCCTTAGTGTTTAAAAACAAATTCTTTTTTTTTTAACTTTTATTTAATGAATATAAATTTCCAAAGTACGGCTTATGGATTACAATGGCTTCCCCCCATAATGTCCCTCCAACCAGCAACCTTCCGCTTTCCCACTCCCTCTCCCCTTCCATTCACATCAAGATTCATTTTCGATTCTCTTTATATACAGAAGATCAATTTAGCATACATTAAGTAAAGATTTCAACAGTTTGCTCCCACACAGAAACATAAAGTGAAAAATACTGTTTGAGTACTAGTTATAGCAATAAATCTCAATGTACAGCACACTAAGGACAGAGATCCTACTGACTCTGATCATATTTAGACAGGGCCATGGTCAAAGTGGAAGTTCTCTTCTCCCTTCAGAGAAAGGTACCTCCTCTTTGATGACCCATTCTTTCCACTGGGATCTCACTCGTAGAGATCTTTCATTTAGGGTTTTTTTTTTTTTTTTTTTTTTCCCCAGAGTGTCTTGGCTTTCCATGCCTGAAATACTCTCATGGGCTTTTCAGCCGGATCCACATGCCTTAAGTGCTGATTCTGAGGCCAGAGTGCTGTTTAGGACATCTACCATTCTATGAGTCTGCTGTGTATCTCACTTCCCATGTTAGATCATTCTCTCCCTTTTTTATTCTATCAGCTAGTATTTGCAGACACTATTCTTGTTTATGTGATCTCTTTGTTTCTTAGTCCTATCATTATGATCAATTGTGAACAGAAATTGATCACTGGGACTAGTGAGATGGCATTGGTACATGCCACCTTGATGGGATTGAATTGGAATCCCCTGGTATGTTTCTAACTCTACTGTTTGAGTTAAGTCAGCTTGAGCATGTCCTGAATTGCACATCTCTTCCCTCTCTTATTCCCACTCATATATTTAACAGCGATCACTTTTCAGTTAAGTTTCAGCACTTAAGAAGAATTGTGTATTGATTACAGTATTCAACCAAAAGTATTAAGTAGAACAAACAAACAAAAAAATACTAAGAGGGATAACATATCAAGTTGTTCACCAACAGTCACGGCGAGGGCTGATCAAGTCACCGTTTCTCATAGTGTTCATTTCCTTTAACAGGTTTCCTTTTTGGTAGGTGACATCTAACTGAGCACCAAAAAGGAAACCTGTTAAAGTGAAATAAAAACGAATTCTTAGGCTGTGGAGAAATCTTAGATATGATGGTTTGTGACCCTCCAAAGCTCAACCATATCCAACAAAACTTTTTCTTAGTATTCATTTTTCTCATTGGATTTCTTTTTTTTTAAGATTTATTTGTTTATTTGAAAGTCAAATAAATAAATTAATATTTGAAAGAGTTACACAAAGAGGAAGAGACAGAGAGATATTCCATCTGCTGGTTGACACCCCAAATGGCCGGAGTTGAGTCAAGCCAAAGTCAAGAACCAGCAGCTTCATCCAGGTCTCCTATAGGGATGTCAGGGGCCCAAACACGAGGGCCATCCTCCGTTGACTTTCCCAAGCTGTTAGCAGGGAATAGGATGGGAAGTGGAGCAGCTGGGACACAAACATGCTCCCCTAGGAGATGCTAGTGTCACAGGCAGCAGCTACCCCTACTGCATCACAACACCAGTCCCTCATTTGCTTTCTTTATGTATTATATGAAAAGGATTGATAGTGAGCTCATGGGAGATAGCCAAAACATACCCAAGAATATCTCCATAAACCTATGATGAATAGATGGCTGGCTAGTGCATTTTGTTTCCATCATTTGCTTGAGCTCAAGTCATTTTTGGGAAGCACCTTCGGTTAATTTTGTCAGTGACGGCTTTGCGGATGTTACTGAAGTTTAAGCTTCGGTACTTCAGAGTGTGAGGTGGGATTTGAGAATAAAATGCAAACAGCTTATATCTTACTATTCAATTCCACTGAAGTTTTCCTACACACTAACAATTTTGTCAAGTATGGGAAACAAAAAATAAAGAAAAAAGGTGGAGGAATGTCTAGCATCTAATGATGTTAAAAATTATTTTCTCACATGAAGAAAAATTAAAAGTTCAGTACACCAAATATCAATGTGAAGCACATAATTTAATTTTTCACCTCCACAACAGCTAGTCTTATGAGTACTATTAAGTATTTGGGAATTTCAGATTTGTGAAATAATTTGGTACGTGATAATTTATATAAATAAATAAAATGAATTAAAAGTTGCTTCACCAATTAGTACAAAAGATAAGAAAATGTCAACAACTTTTAAAGGTAACTTTGAATTGATTTTTTGCCATTATTAACTCTGCAGCAACCAAAAAGATTGAAATTTGAATGCTTTATATTTAGATAAACATATATATAGTGTATGTAGAGAGATGCACAGTATATATTTTTAAAATTATAATGATGGTCTATTACAAAAAAATTCTAAAAAGGCATTAAAGCAGGAAAGATGAGGCACTAATGGGAAAATGGTGAGGAAAACTGCTTTTGAATCCTGTAGAGTGCACAAAGGAAAGCAAAAAGAGAAGTAGAAAGTGAGGGAAGGCATTCAGAAAAGGAAAGTAGCGCGTCCTCTACTTAAGGCACTTGAGCAGAGCAAGGTCTTCAGAGAACCTAGAGGCCGAGGCTCTGATCACCCACCTCAGCCAGGCCAGCAGCATCTGCAAGATCCCCCATGGCCTTGCCCTTCTCTTCGCTGCTGGCCCTGCTGGTGCTCAGCTCCAAGTCCCTCTGCTCTCTGGGCTGTGATCTGCCTCAGACCCACAGCCTCAGTGACGGGAGGTCCTCCATGCTCCTGGGACAAATGAGGAGAGTCTCCCCTCTCTCCTGCTTGCAGGACAGACATGACTTTGAGTGCCCCCTGGAGGAGTTGGGTGGACACCAGGCCCAGAGGACACAGGCCATCTCTGTGCTCCACGAGATGACCCAGCAGCTCCTCAACCTGTTCAGCACCAAGGAGGCGTCTGCTGCCTGGGACAAGGCCCTCCTGGACAGACTCTGCACTGGACTCTTCGAGCAGCAGAGTGACCTGGAGGTCTGCATGATGCAGGGAGCGGGGGCAGAGGAAATGCCTCTGAAGCATGAGGACTCCGCATGGGCTGTGAGGAAATACTTCCAAGGAATTGTTGTCTATCTGGCAGAGAAGCAATACAGCCCTTGTGCCTGGGAGGTTGTCAGAGCAGAAGCCAGGAGAGCCGTCTCTTTATCAAGAATCTGGCAAGAAAGAATTTGGAGCAAGGAATGAGACCAGGGCCAACACGGAAATGATTCCTGTTGACAAAAACACATATCACACCTGAGCAAATTCTGCCATTAAAAGACTCCTTTCTCCTAAAATAACCATATTAATTCAATCAGTTTGTTAGATGTTTCCAAGGCTATTAAACAACATCTCGTTAACTTTTGGGGCATTATTTTTTACAGATGAACATTCAATATATCTATTTAAATATTTATGTATTTGTATATTTGAATATTTATATATTTAACTATATTTAAGGTTTAAATAGTTTTTATCTGTATGATAATCATGTTCACTTTTGTACTGTGGTTAATGTAATAAAATTACTCTTTATATTAATCAATTCATCATTTCACTTTGTACATTGAATTTTTCCTATAGCAAACTTGCTCTGTTTGTCTATCCTATAAAAGAAAATATGAGATTTATTGTGCAATCTGATTAAAGACTCAATGGCACAATTCATTTACACGGGACTATCATATTAAAGATAGAAATATAAATATGCTTTCTCCTAACTAGGTTGTATGTTGCCTTCACAACACAGAACTGAAGAGAACAAATAGAATTGCTGCTTTCTTGAGTCTTTGATGTTGGTAAGAAAGCAACCTAAAAGGAATTATCATACTTAAAATATCTGCTCAGTTAAATACTATAATGATAAGAAGAGAAAAACAATTGAAATGGTCCCAGCAGATCTTGGGAAGAGGCAGATCAGGAAATGGAAGCAGAAGCAGCAGATAGTGTGCACAGCTGACTGGGACAGCTAAGTGCACATATGCACTGGCAATGAATATATGAGCTTGCAATTTACAAGCAATGCCAGCAACTGAAAGCCTGCTAACAGAAGTGGCCACATGGGAAGATACTAGAGAAGAAGAAAAAGGCTTAAAATTGGTTGGTGTTGGCAGCAGGTGCTGTGGCTCCCTTGGTTAATCCTCCACCTGCGGCACCAGCATCCCATATGGGCACCGTGTTCTAGTCCCAGTTGCTCCTTTTCCAGTCCAACTCTCTGCTGTGGCCCGGGAAGGCTGTGGAGGATGGCCCACGTGCTTGGGCCCCTGCACCCGCGTGGGAGACAGGAGGAAGCACCTGGCTCCTGGCTTTGGAGTTGGCCATTTTGCTGGTGAACCAATAGAAGGAAGACCTTTCTCTCTGTCTCTCTCCCTCACTGTCTAACTCTGCCTGTCAAAAAAAAAAAAAAAAAAAAGATAAAATGATTGGTGTGAACTTTAACTTTAAAGGGAGAAGAGTCCCATAGGATATTGAGTTGGAAAAACCACAGATTAGAACAAGAGAAATGCTGATAGGAGCATATTTACAATTAAAACTCTAGAATAATCAATGTATCAATAGAAAATGTGGATTGCAATTGCCCACAACAATGGGAAAATAAAAGTCATTGATGACCTTAGTGATAGATGATTTGGTAGAATTAATCAGCAAAACCTCTGTTGGAAGGTGCATCTAGGTGAAAGAGAAAAGAGAAAGTTAGAGACAACATATATAGAAAATACTGTTAACTGGTTTGTCTGCTTGAGTGGAGGAGAGAGAGAGGGTGGGACTTGAGAAATAATGTAGATTATTCTCTTCTCTGCACAATTTTTACTTCTCAAATATATTTGTGTTCAGATAGATTTCAAGGACTAATATACTAGAGAGTCATATTAACATGTTTACTATTTTATTTATTAAGGCATGACATATCAAAGTATTTAAAATTATAATTTAACGATATTTATAATCATTATTATTTATCACTATTAGTATATTGAGTGTCAGTGAACTGCTCTGTGGATTAAAAATGTGCACTAAACTGGGAATGTAGATGCAGTCAAAGACATTAGTGAAGGAATAATTAATAAGCAGAAGCCATACTGGAATGAACAGAGTGTGAGTATGTGAGGAGAATTCCCATTGTATTTTTTTTTAACTCAGTGAGTCACTTTCCTTTTTTCACTTTTAGAAGTTTCATATTTGCATTTATTCTCCTTTTGGCTCAACTTATCCCGGTGCAATGACAACTTTCAAGAAAGTTGATTGGAGGGGCCAGCGTTGTGGCTCAGTGGGTTAACGCCCTGGCCTGAAGCGTGGTTATCCCATCTTGATGCCGGTTCGAGACCCGGCTGCTCCACTTCTTATCCAGCTCTCTGCTATGGCCTGGGAAAGCAATAGAAGATGGCCCAAGTTCCTGAGCCCCTGCATCCACTTGGGAGACCCAGAAGAAGCTCCTGGCTCCTGGCTTCGGATCGGTGCAGCTCCAGCCATTGCAGCCGACTGGGGGAGTGAACCATCAGATGGAAGATCTCTCTCTCTCTCTCTCTCTCTCTGTGTGTGTAATTTTGACTTTCAAATAAATAAATCTTTAAAAAAAAGAAAGTTCATTGGAAAAAGGAAAAAAATTACATATTGGAAATTTTGGGAAGTTATTTACCTTTCCATTTTTATCGTCTTAATTGAGTACTAACCTCAAGATAAAATAAAAAAATATACCAGCAGCAACAATAGGCAAAGAAAATTATAAATTTAAAAAATGATCTTCCTGGAAGAACTGCACACTGCACACCATCAGCATCTGCAAGACCTGGAGACCTGCGAGGTACAGGTGATGGGAGAGAAAGAATCTGTTTTGATGACTCAGCACCCAACACTGATGTTGAAAAGGTGCTTCCAGGGAACCTGTCTCTATCAGAAAGAGAATACAGTGACTGTGTCAGAATGGAAATCATGAGAACCTTCTTTTCAACAGCAGACTTCAATGAAAGTATAGGAAGTAAGGATGGAGACCTGGAAAAGATTTTTCTTTAATTCATTCATTTGCACTCCTTTTTGGTTGGTCATTTAAAAAACTTTTATTTTGGGGCCAGCATAGTGGCAGAGAGGGATAAGCTACCACCTGTGATGCCAGCATCCCACATGGGCACTGATTTTCATTCTGGCTGTTCCACTGCAGAACCAGTTTCCTGCTAGTGTGTCTGAGAAAGGAAAGGAGAAGAGGCCAAGTTTTTGGGCCCCTGCACCCACGTGGGAGACCAATATGAAGCTCCTGGCTTTGGCTTGGCTCAGCCCCGCCTTTGGGGCCATTTTGGGAGTGAACCAGTGTGTGGAAGGTTCTCTGTCTCTCCTTCCCTCTCTCTTTATAAGTTTTACTTTCAAATAAATAAAACAAACCTTTAAGAAGATGCATTATAAATGGAAATATTTATAAATGAAAACGCTTATTTCTTCTTTAGTCATAGAATGGATTGAGTTAAATTATTTTCTTGCTATTGAAGTTTTGATGTAAAAATGATTATCTCTAGAAGCATCTGCCCTTAAAAGACTTCTATTTTGATGTTATATACACATTTACACATTTGGAGGGAGTTTGGGTTTCCAATTCACCATGTCACCAGCTTGGGGGTCATCATCCCTCCTGTCCTCGCAACAAAATACTGAACAATCCCAAAATCCACAACTCAATCTGTATCTTCAGAGAACTGAGGCCATAGGTCAAGACTACTCTAATGATCAGAGAGGAAGGAGGATACAGAGACTCCCAGCTTACCTGGAGCACAAGTACAGAAGCAGGATCCTGCAGGTGGAGCTAATATTGGTGGGAACACTTACTGAATGGAGAACTGCTGGAGGCCTAGTGTAGATGAGCGTGAGCCTTAAGAACTCCAGGAAATGCAGCTATTGGGGCTAACCCTACACTTCTTTTCCCCATGAATCCCGATAGTTTCTCACTGTGACTATCAAAGAAAGCTCTCCCGAGATTCCACACACAGAAACTGCCCTGGCTGAGAAAGAACTTGTAGGATCAGCTTCATTCACAATACCTACAAAATAACTAAATACCTTGGATAAATTTAACCAAGGACATGAAATTACAAGACATTAAGGAAAGAAAGAAAGAAGACAGCAAAAAATGGAAAAAGCTTCCATGTTAATGGATTGGAAGAATTAATAGTATCAAAATGTCCATACTACTCAAAACAATTTAGAGATTCATTGAAGACCCAATCAAAATAGCAAGGACATTCTTCTCACATCTAGAGAAAATGACTCTAAAATTCATATAGAAACACAAGAGACACTGAATAGCTAAAGAATACTTAAACATGTGTTTTCTTTTTTCTTTTGTATGAGGCCAAGCATCTCTGACTGCTACAGAAATATAGTAGGCAGGTATAGTGAAGAAACAACCTTATTTTGAGCAGGGGGAATGACAACACAGCACTTAAAAGCTATATTGTAGTCTGGATCATGCTTTGAAATCTTAAACAATTGAAAAACAAACCCAAAGGCATCACAATACCAGGTTTCAAGACATATTGCAGAGCAGTTATAATAAAAACAGCTTGGTACTGGCACAAAAATGGACACGTGGACCAATGAAACAGATTAGAAACCCCAGAAATAAATCCACGTATCTACAATCAGCTAATCTCTGACAAATGCATTAACAATAGCTCTCTGAAGAAAAGACATTCTCCTTAACAATTGGCATGGGGAAAATTGGAAATCTACATGCAGAAGTATGAAATAAGACCCCTACCTTACACCTTATTAAAAAATCAACTCACAGTTGATCAGGGATCTAAATCTAAGACCTGATGCCATTAAATTATGTTGGAAAACACAGGGGAAATACTGATAGACATTGGCATATGCAAAGACTTCTTGAATTAAACCCCAGAAGCACAAGCAATAAAAACAAAAATAGACAAATGGGATACATCAAGCTTTTAATCTTCTGCACAGCCAGGGAAACACTCAACAAAATGAAGAGGCAACTGATAGAATGGGAGGAAATATTTGCAGATTATTCATCTGATAAAGGATTAATATCTAAAATACACAAGGAGCTCACAAAATTCAACAACAAAACAAACATTCCAGTTAAGAAATGGGCAAAGAATATGGACATTTCTCAAAGTATGGAATGCAAATGGTCAACAGACATACAAAAAATGCTCAGGATCACTAACCATCAGGGAAATGCACATCAAAACAATAATGAGGCTTCACCTCACCCCAGTTAGAACTGCCATCATCCAAAAATCAAAAAATAACAAATGCT